TCGAGTCCCAATAACTTATCGATCCTTTCACTAGAGTTATCAAATATCAGTCATAATTTCTCCTGTCTTTTTCTTTCGTCTCGTACCGTCACGAATGCATCGTGCAGAGAGAAAGTATATAAATATGAAAAGATAAAAATGTTGTGGAACATTTGTCATCTACCAAAATCATATAATATAAATTGGACAACTGAATAAAACAGCATCAGAGAAACAATCTTGAAAATGCCATAAAACTTTTATTACACTCTGTATATCAACCATTTATAACATTATTCTACATGACTTAGTCTAGAAAATAAAGAATAAATGATTCATACCTCAGTAGATTGTTCTTGTTTTGTTGGATGATGAGATTAATGCAACTACAGAACGTAATTTCTTTCTATTCTTTCTTCGGCAACCCATCATGCCAATCGTGGGAAAAATTCCTTATGTATCATAGAGAGAATGATAATTGTGTAAGTGGAAAAAAACCCACTACTATGTCACGTGTCCTATTATTTAACTTCTTCTTTAAATCACTCTCGCTAGTTCTCCTTCCTACATTGCACATATATAAATACTTCATGGCAATCACTGTCTTCTCTATGTAAAACCTCGAACTATAATTTTACACATACTCAGAGCTAAATTATTTGTTATCGTTTACTCTTTGAATTTTTTCTTCAGTTTTTCGTTGTTCATTTACATATGTGCTAAATAATTCTCCGACGTCTAATAAGAGAAGGCTCCCCAAGTGTCAGGTGGCGTTTTCAATTGGATGCATAGATATTTATAGAGGTGGATGAAACTAGCAACGACGTAAAAGGATTCGCTTCAATATCTTGTCCTTCTCGAGTCATGATTGTTTTACTGAACTTTCCATCTCTAGTAAGGCATATATGAAAAAATAGAATTAAGTAATATTAACCTGAAATTTCGCCCATAGGCAGATCTCATGGCCATTAGAATATCGTAAAGATTTCAATCAAAAAGAATGTTTTCTTCCTAGTATATTGAATGTTGAAGACAATCAATTTTCGATGTCTTCTCGTAACATATAATCATTCTCAGATATCCAATATCTCAACAAGAAAACATTATTTTTGGTTGAAATATTTAGAATATTCTAATGACCATGCAATCTGCTTGTGCGAAAAATTTCAGGTGATAATTACGTAATTACAATTTTCCATCTATGCCGTGCCAGAGATGGAAAATTCAGTAAAACGATCATAACTAGAGAAGAACAGCATATTGGAGTGGGTGTGGTGTGGTTGTTGGTATGTCACATTTACATCCTACTCATCCACCCACACTCACCACCATAGCTACACACAGATTCACTCACCCACACCCACACCCTACTAACAGGAGGGTTCCGGGTTGAATTTCATCTCCGTTCAATCTCAATGTTCTCATTTTTCCCAGCAATATTGAATGAAATTGAATCTTTGACAATTGATATTAATGCCTCACCAGCTCAACTATCTCAATGGCCCTATCTACCTCGTTTATCGACGTTGCGATTAAAAGGTGTGCGAAAATATAACGATATGATCATTTTTCGGCTATTACATGCAGCTACACTAACTCATTTGACAAATGATACAAGATTCGAATTAAAGTCGGTGAGTAAATTTATCTATATTCTCCTAGACATGAATATAATCAAAAGTTGATGAACATATAGATGTTAATTTTGATAAGTAAATAAATGATGATTGTCAACATATATTTCCCTTTAGCAATATTTTTTCTTAGAATTTTTTCTACGTATTTATTATTTTTAGGTTAGTTTGTCTCTCAAAGTTTTCTATCCGTTGTATCGTATAACTTCCCTTGTAAAAAAAAATATTATTTTACGTCAGTTATATGCTCTTCAATCGCTTGATTTGGTCACAAATGAAAGCAATTGGATTCGCAACTGGCACTTAGCAAACATTTCAATGTCATTTACTTTTCTGCGTATCGTCTTAGGTAGTCCATTTGATTTAATTCATCTTATGTTAACAAGACCGTTATTGACGACACTAAAACATTTGCATATTACGCTAATGGATCTTCGGTTTGATTTTGCCTTTCATTTACCAAATAAAGATCAATTAGTTTCCATGATACAATTACATACTTTTACATTGGTGAAATCTTTTCTGTGGATATTAAAGAATGAATTGTCATCCATTGATATATTAACAAGTGCAGACGTGATGCCTATGTTACGATGAATAAATTTATCAATTACTCTTAATAATGATGAACTCAATCATATTAAACAATGTTCGATTTTTAATGATCATCGATGTGTCAATGTTCATTTTGTGGTATGTATTGATGATTATGATACAAATATTCAATTGAAAAAGTTGATTCTACATGATAGTCTTTCTTATCCACGAAAAGTAATGGGTTCAGTGTTTACTGTTAATTATTGGTATAATATTGAATATTCCACAACTGTTAATCTTAGTCGAATAAATATCATTTGAAGTGAATAGTAAAAATTATTTTGATTGCTATTGTTTTAGTGTTCTCGATATAAATTTGATCAGCACGTGTTGTGATATACTCTTTCGGGGTCGTTCGAAAAATTCTTTCAATTAGCATTTATAAATCAATGCAATAATCAAAGAGAAATATATGCATCGTCTTCATCACCTAATATAATCATACCATACAATATTTCAACTTTAAATGAACAGGTCAATATTTTACTAGTTCCTAAGCTTTCTCTACCTCCTATAAGAGTTCTCTAATACAATAATCAATCTTCTTATCATTGTATTGACACAACTATCCGTATAATAATTCCAACTTATCGTATTATTGTAATAGATTGTCTCGATAGACTAAGCGACTATTTATATACAGCAAATCATTGTTCTACTCATATTCTTTTCTACTCTTCACAAACCTTCACTATTATTCATTGAAATTCATTACGTACACTTTCAGTTCTTCCATTGCTAAAGTCATTACAAATAGCTATGTACAATTTTGAAACTATACTTGAAAATGAACATTGTCAAGTTATTGTAGAGAGAATACCAATACTCACTGATTTCGTCTTTTGCTTTCGACGACACATGATTTCTGTGAATAACAATAATGATTCATTCAACATTCATCTTAAATCAATTTTAAATTTACATCATTATATATCCAATTTAATTTTCGATCAACAGCCTAAGATTATTATCGAAGCAGATGGATGCGGATTGACGATGTGGTTATGATTTAAACTTAACTAACTGACTTTCATATCAATATAATCACTTTTTCTTTTGTAGGCTAATTAGTTTCAGATGTTCGTTTGTTTGAACATACTAATTTTATACAAATTTCAAACTCTATGTTGTGCACGGCACCAATATGAGCAAAAATAAAAACAAAGGAATACTTCCAAATAAAAGAAATTCAGTCTTAACTAGTACGTATGAAAGAGAAAAACTTGAAAATATTAGATGATGAACAAATCAGTAACAGGAAAATGGATAAATTCAAATAACGTAAATCACAGAAATTTTTGACAAATACCATATAATAACTGAATAAATTCCACTATCAAAACGAAACGAATGGAAAGCATCATCGTTGGACTATGTATTTCCTCAAGCAATTAACTATGAAAGAATTATACACAATATATATATACCGAAACGTCAAACGCAAAACTAGTGCCCTTTTATAAAAAAATCTAATCTAAGCCAACCTTAACTTAATTGAAAATAATACAGATCAATGGGAAAAATTAAAATAACAGATCACTATTTAAGATAAATTTAATAAACTTAGGATGAAAATATTTCTTTTTATCCGACAAAATGTCTTGTCTACTTTAAGTAACAGATAAGAAACATCAATAATAACAACAACAGTAAAGAAGAAGGAAATAATGTATAATCATACTTCATGTGCAATCATTGCGAATCTATCAATTAGAAACAGGAAAAATTCTATTGACAGATCAAAAGGTGAAGATAATAAAGATTTGACGTCTAATAAATATTGACTATTTTATAAATGTAAAAATTACCAGATCTAAATACGAATAGACATAATTAGGAAGTTTAGGACGATAATGAGATCGTATCTCAAAAATTTGCAAGTAAGTCAGCGTCTTATTTTTTTTCTTTATTTGGTTGAGTAGTAAATGCATGTTCGAATTAACATCCCTGTAGATAATATTCTTGATCAGCAAGAAGAAACAGACGATTGTTTAATTCTTCAAAATGAATACTCAACCGTAATAGAGCCAATGGAAATCTGAAAAATAACAAATAGTATGTCTTATTGTCGAACAGAATTAGGTATAAAAAATTTAAATAAATCAGTAATCGGATGATTAAACTTCTTATTCTTCAAATCAAACATTAAAAGCGAGATCATAGAAGGACTTTCTTAGTAGCCTAAATACTCACAATGATCTGCAACTGTATTTGATGCATATGCACTAAACATAAGACAAGTTAATATCTAGATAGCCATACGTTTTGCTTTCTTCGTGCAACACTTGTCATTCATAATATAGCCCATTCATTAACTTTCGTTGAATAATGTGCACTAATTAAAGTACGAAAAACTACATAGACACCTGTTTGAGATTGTAATTGTTGGGTTGATGTAGCGAATTCTAAAACCGTTTTATCCATTAAATGATCTGATAAACCAATATGTGCAAGGTAATGATGGTAATCGACGAAGAAGAAGTATTGCTTATGTGGTAATGTATAGGATTGTTTCTATACGTTCATATCCAACAAGTTCAATAATAATCTTATTTGATGAACATATAATTGATGTTCGATCAATCATTTCTTGTTCTTCATTTATGTTTTCATTATTGAATATATTCCAATGTTCCATTTATTGTTGGTAATAATGTATAAATATGTACAAGAATTAAAATAAAAATGATCAATATTTAAACATGTTGCTTGTCGAAGTGTTTTTATTGAACATTTTTATAAACGCCAAATATGATTTGTTTTTGGATATTGTCTAAGAATTAAAAGTCTTTAAAAACCAATAAATATTATTTGTTGAGTTAAATTATGATTTATATCTAATATATCATCTTTAAATAATAATGATAACATTGTTTGTTTTAAAATTATTATTAAAGATTTATTTAAATCATCTTCATGACTTTCAAGTATAAATAAACATGATGTATATGCATTTGTTTTTGTTAAATATTTTAAACAACGTTCAATTAAATATTGATAAAATTCATTTGATTCTTTTATTGTTTATACAAGAAGCATATCTGATTTACATAAACCATAATTTATTAATGACATTATTAAATCATCTTCATCAAACTATGTATGAAAATATTCATCATATTTTAACTGTAGATATAGTTTATTAGGGTTAGTTGTTAACTAACAAACATAAAATTCAATTAAAGTTTGTAATGAAAATGTTAAGTTAAGACCATGACGAGAAAATAAATGATCAAATAAACTCTAAAAACGTAGAAATATATTATTGATCAAATGAATTTGAAAAATCTAAATTTACATTTGCTGATAACGGTGATGCATTATTTCTTTAGATTGATGTTAATATATTGTATCATATGAAAGTTGTCTATATAATATTAAATCATCTATACTTAATTGTTCAATATTTATCAATAAATCATTCAAATTTGTTTCTAATATTAAACATGTTTGAATATATTAACCACCAACATTAGTTAATAAAAATGGAATTAATACGGACTATCTCGAGTACGTGAACGATAAATTAATCAGACGCAGCGGAGTTCTTGGTGTACAAACGTAAAACTCGGACTAAATATTTTACATCGAACAATAAAAAAGTTTCTTATCATTCTTTCATCGCGTAACTTTTTCAACAGCGATGTTCTGTGAAGTTTCTTCACTCGTCGAAAACTACATTTGATAGTTGAATATCCGTATTAGATCAATAAATTCAGTGTCCATTGCAGAGTACATATCGACAGGAATCAACATTCCATAAAAAATGTAGAAAAAGTAAGGATGAAAAACATAATAGTTTAAAGATAGCCACCAGCTTTTCGAAACAACAAGAGAAATATAAACTTTCTTGTTACAAACTGCCGCAAAAGTTGGCTGCGCTTGCACAAATTATTTTGGCATATGAACATGAACTCAAAGAAACATTCTTCATTATATGACACACTGAAAATATGGAAATATTTTGCATGGGAAGCAAAAACTAATTGGAAAAACCAGAGAATAGAAAAAACATTGAGATAACCTGTTTTGTGAAGCGATAATTAATCAAAAGTGTGAAGAAAACTAGACTCCAGAAAGGAATTTTCGGAGAACTTTTCCTCCACTTGCATATAATCTAGCTGATAAAAGACGGCATCCTATTAGTGTTTCTAGCCACAGGTTACGGATGACCTCATTCTACATCAACTCACGTTTTACATCAGTGCTCAAGTGTAGAATTGTGTTGCCTGAAACATAACAAATTGATCTATTCGGTATAACCTGTTCTGCTACGAGTGTAACTTTCGCAGTACTGAGACGGCGGTTGGTCTGCTTATAATACCAACGTCTGATTCAACTTCTCGACTATGAGGATAAGTACATTCATTGTTGAATTATTGAGGTTCTAAATCGATTGAGAAAGATTCTACAGAAAAATATTTATGCAGAAGATGAAGTCAATGATCTGGGAATCGAGAATGATCAACGAAGCAATTTCATTCAATTTGAAACGTGGAAAATGAAGAGGAAGATAAACTAATGAGTGTCAATTAATGGCAAAAATAGCAATCGATTTCGACGGAGACAATATGATAAAAGTAAAGTATTTATTGATTACTGCATTGGATGAATCGGTGACTAGATTTGTGCTATCACTATCATAGAAATGAACATGCTGTACGTACTCGTAAACTATAAAAAAAAAAGAAAAGAAAAGAAAACAGATAAGATTAATGTAAAAATGATTTCATGATAAACTGAATAACAATGAAGATTCGGGGAAAGAACCCATCGAATTCTATTTAGAGTTCCTTCAGAGAGACAATCGAAAGAAAATGTCTCTTAATTCCTTTGAATTATCATTGTGTAGCATTTTTTTTCTAAAATTTCTTCTTTTGTTAGACTATTTGTAATTTGTTCATTATCATCATTATTTTCATTAGGTGGATTAATTGTAGCTAAAAACGTTATCCAAGTTGTTTGAAATTGCGTTCATTGATAACCATCCAACAAATGATATTCGTTCGATATAATCAGTCATTATATCTGAATGTTGTAAAAAATGAACAGGAAATGATGATAAACAATAATCATTTATACCAAATTGTAATTTATTTATATCTTGATGATGTTATTTCCAAAAGTGTGTTGGTATACATATAAATAAATGAATTAAATATTAGTAAACGAAATAATATCGATCAAAATGTAGTATAGAATGAATTGTTTTTTGTTAAACAAAGAAGAAAACTTTCAATTAAATTTCAACTAAGAAAAGATTTTTTTTTTGAAAGATATTTAGATAAATTATTTCTAAGATAAATATTATAAAATATAATAAATCAGGTGTATTACCAGAGAAAACATTGACATGTTAACATTCGTATGATTTTTTAATTGTTTCAAAATAAATATAAATAGAATCAAGTAAAGCAATTAAATACGGTTGATTAGCTGAACATAATATAAAAGAATTTCAATATAAAATGTGTCAAGTATTGATTCATCATCATTTAAATTTATTTCACTAGGAATTAATCGTTGAATTGATAAGGAAAAACGTAGATCATTTATTTTTGTTTTATTTAATCCACTTGTTAAAGCACGTCATAGTGATGAAATATTAATGCCAAGTACATGACGATGAGGCATTGTGATAATCATAGAAAATTCTAGAAAAACTCAAATTTTAAAACAGATAGAAATCAATAAATTACATATTCGATTTACCGGTGACGCTATAAATGATGATTATTTTTTATAAGTAACAATTTTAATTATTTGAGCATAAATTTTTGGTGTTATATCCAATGAACAATGAACTTTTCGTATCCAATTAAGAACAAAATCTTCATCATTACTATAAAGATTTTTAAATTCTTGTTTAACAACATCCATTGAAATCTCTGATGTATAATTTATTTTTCCAATTAAACATTGTATAAGAGACCCAATAAGTTCATTTGATTTAATATTATTTTTATTATTATTTTTTGTGATGATGATAATGTTGGTAAAATAATTAGTAAACATTTAGACATTAATTAATTATTTAATATTTGTTCATCAAGTGCTAACATCATTTCAATAGGACGACCAACAATTAATTCAGTTCAACAGCATATAGATATATACTATAATGTAAGAAATTGTTCAATTAATAAAACTAATAAAAGACCATTTTCATCTAAATGTATTCCTTCAAGTGTACGAAGAATTTTTAATGATAATAAAATTTTCCAATTTCTATATAAACTGATTCAACAATAGAATGACTTGCAACAGATATGTACAAGGTCTAAGACCAAATACATATCACAAAATGATTGTAATTGTCTTCTAATAGATAAATGTGTTATTAATGATGATAGTGTAGGAATAGGTAACATTGATGACCATCATGCTTCTTGTATATAATCAAGTATATTAAGAATATGTGTTCATTGTAATAATAATAGTAAATAAAATGATCAAAGTAATTTAAAATATTCACTTAATATAGGTAAATATATGAAAATGTATCAAGATAATGAACTATTTCATCACTTTCATCGTGAATTAATAATTGACAAAAATCATTTACAATTGTTCGAAATTGTTTAGTTAAAATATAATGATAGGTAAATTCTGAAAATAGTTAATGAGTAAATCGTAGATCTCAAAGCTAAGATAATAGAAGTTTCCTAGGACAATGTTCACCTTAATAGACGATAATCTATGAGCAGAATTTGATCACTACAACTTTATTTATTCAGCCTATATGCTTATTTTTCTCTTCATCGTAAACATCTTCTATGATATTCTGTATTTTCTTTGAATAACTCTTTACCATTTTCAACGATATACATAAGTAAATAGAGATAATCTGATGTAAGAGAAACCAATGTCATATCGACTCTATCATGTGATTGTTGAATATTAGTTAAAAGATGTATTATGACATCATGTAAAATAGGAAGAAGTGCTCTAAATGACAAAAAAAAAATTCGAATAATAATTTTCTATAATTATAATAAATAATTTTTGATACTTATGTACTAAAACTTTCATCACATGTATCATTTGTTGATGACAACGCATCTTTCCATCATGATAATATAGCATCTTCAATTCAATTTTAAATTAGACATCGAAGAATAATATTTATATTCATTAACCATCGATTTATTGTATGATGATTGAAATTCTACAAAAAATTATATACAAAGAAAATTAAAATGTAATGAAAAACAAAACATTTGATTGTAAATGAACAAGAAGTACATTAATAATTAGTCGTGAAAGACGTTTCCATTTGTCAACTTCACTTCGAACATTACCAACAATTAATGTTAGCGATTTCAAAACCTATAACAAATAAATTATCCTATTTCTTCATATCATATTGAATTACTTTATTATATCGAACAAGTTCAAATAATGTTTGAACAATAAACATTTGTTGTACTTCTAATTCTTTATTATCAGTTTTAAGTCGAGCAAGAAATAAATCATATACAACTGGTTCTATTGCAGATAAAGCTATGACAAAAAGAAATATATTTCTTAATAATAAAGACAAATAATATTGTTTAGTTAACCCGGAGTAAAAGCAATTGTACAAGTAAATCGAGTACAGACGGTTGAAATTCCGCTTCATTTGAATTAACATATTTTTTAAGACTAAGAGTAACCATTGGTTTACATAAATGAATATAATTGTCAATTTTTTTACGTTCTGTTCGATTTGGTGGATGTTTTAAATGTTCAACTGTTTCTTGTTGTTTTTTACTTAAATAAAAACTATACGAAAAAAAAATTCTTGTTTTGATTTCAATTCTAAATCTTACTCTTGTATTGTATCATTTTCTATTAATTGATCACTATTAATATTTGATGTATGACGTGATCCGAATAAATAAATCACTGGTTGTCGAAAAGTCATTGTATGAATATTAATCAAAGAATTATTTCATGATAACTGTGAAAGACAATTTGAAGGTCTTGTTTCACAAGGAGATGAAGGGTGGGTGTGGATGTGGATCTCATTCTTGTCTGCTTGCACATCCACATCCTCTGAAGACGAGTCTCTGAACACTCAAAATATCAATTCCGTTGATTTAGAAATAAATTTCACATTTATTATTATTAAAACTGAAAACAAAACATTTTATTTATGGCATATTGATAATCATAATGTGTCAATATGACTTAAAACAGTAATGCATTTTCTAACATAAGGAAAAACGAAGCAGAGTTTTTTTTTCTCAAGGCCAACATTTCCTATGTCTCTATTTTATTCAATTCACCATTTCTTTTCTTTTCTCAGTTGTTTCTCTCTGGTTTATGATGTCTTAATCACCTATGAAATTTTAATGAATAAGAAAGAAACATCATTCAGTGCTTTATTTATCTTTCAATATGGTTTAGTTATCGATTCTTGATACATCGAATGAAAATTCACTACAAAAAATAAACCACACTAGAATAAAAATTTTAAAAGCACTTTCTGGTTCGTTTGACTAACGCTAAAAAGATGTGTAATATTGTCTTGATAGTCTTTTAAAAATGCAACAATACTATCATTCTGAGACAATATTTTACTGTTTTGTTCCATGATCGTATCTAACCGACAGATATATTTTTGATTTTCTTCTATGATCTGTTGAACTGTTTTCAACTTCATTTTGAAGTAAAATTCGCTCCCCAATTGCAAACACTGAAGCCACATGATGAATAAGATGGTCATTGACATTTTTCTTCTCACAAGTTTCTCCTACAGGGTCAACAGATGTATGCATATGTTTTACAAATCCATTATTCCAACCTGAATCCAAATCCTTTCCCCATGTCGAACTTTACCAATATTTCTCTGAGAGTGTGGGTGTGGTGTCTAAGTCAAGAAAGGAACAAAAACCGCACGGACGCCTAACATCTACACCCTACCCTTTCTGATTGGTCGCCTTCCTAGTCAACGGAAAGGCCGAATGTAAAATCCGACCTCAGATATGGATTTTCTGGTCTCAATTACTTTGGGAGAAACTTTAGAACTTACGCCTAAATAAATTTCACCTCTGATGTTTTTTGACCTTGACTCATACACAGAAACGCATTTTATTCTTTTTCATATGATCCTCCATAAAGTCGAGGGAATGAAAAGCTTGTGTTTTATCAATAACTCGTCGAAAATAACGCCTCTGTAGATATTTAACAACAAAATAGTAGCGATTGAACACCCGGTGCAATGATCAATATACAGTAACAACCAAGTTTTAGACAAATACTTAAGTAAAAACATTAAAAAGTTTCAAAACTGTCAAAAACACCTAAATCTATGAGGTAGATGACTTACACAATCTATTAGTGACTTGATTTTTTTAAACAAATCTGAATATTGTCAAACAAAGTCCAACATAGTCTCTTACAAGACGGTTCAATAAAAAACGAATTCGATATAAGCATTTGTATAATAATAATTTCTGATCTATACTCGTGAATTCACAATGATATAAAATCTTTTTCTAAATCAATTTTATCTTATTTTTTTATTTCCAAGAAAAAAACGTGTGCTTTATTTTTATTAACTCATAGAATTGATTTGATTTAAGTTTTCGTCTTGTCGAAAAAAATCATTCTTTAATTGGCAGAAACACAATTAATTTTTTTTTATTATTTTTATCGTTTACCTTACGCAAACTATAATTTAAAAACCTATTTGAAAATAAATATCGAATCAAAAATAGTGAAATCAACGACAAAATACTATATAATTTTCTATCATATCACTTGAAAAACTCCTCATTTCACATTAATATTTGCAGACGCGGCTACATGAATATATACTTTATGCAGTCAAATGGATATATATGATCAATTCATCGTATTGAATTTGAAAAATGAATTTAAGAAAACTTTTTTCACTTCTGATCGGTGACTCGAGATCCATAGGATCAAAGTCACAAAAATGTAGTACAAACAAATAAAACTGACTAATATTAGTTATTCATGAAAGATCAAATACGAGTAGATCATCTTACAAATTTCGAGGTTCTATGCATTGCTTCATTAAAAGTTATTATTTTCTTTAACAAACTTTCATTTTTTGTTTTATTTTGCAAATAAACATAAATTTACTGATATTTTCATCATGTCCTGCTGATCTTTCTTCTTCATCATCTCATCTTCCTATGCTGCTTTTGTACAATCATTTCACTGTTTGTTTTTTGTCTCTTCTTTGTAAGTATGTGTTGAATGTGAAGTAATGACATACTGAAGTTGTGAATCTACTGAGTGAATTTCAGCAACAAGAGCGATCATATACTGCTCTGTCAGTTTTTTTCTTACAACAATAAAATGATATTTTTCTAAGATCGATTTTTAATCCACAAGAAATCATTGGGTGATGTGAAAAACGATATTTTGGATCGTTCCAAAAGAGCTCATTACTTCAAAGTATTGAGTTTTTATTAGTGCCTTAGAGAACGTCAAAGAAGACAATGTCACTTGAATTGACAGCTCTCTTGATCATTGTAAAAAATTAAAGAGAGGAAACTCATGTCAACAATTTTTTGAATAATCAATAAGTGGCTCTATATAGAAGAAGAGTGACTGTGAACCGAAAGCAATGCATTCGATGATAGCACACAATAAAAAATATATGCTGTCTTTCAGGTGCAAGACATGCTCGAGTCGACTTAAAACAAATTTCCCAAACTATAGAATGCGATCATCATAGATTTCCAATGTTGCTTTTGATGAATACGTTCACTTCCGTTTTTTTTTTCTTTTATAATTTTTCATTGAGTATGACATATGAACAATTAGTTAGTAAGTAAGATGCACTTTGTTGTGACTGATGACACTTTTTTCCACTCAAATTTTATTTAGTTTTGAATTTTCTTTCTAAACGAAGTCCATCGAGATTGAAATTTCTAATAGGCTATTTTTCCAGTTAGTAATAAATAAAACCTACTCATGAATTATACGAAGTTATAGTATGCAATAATAGTTCAAAAATTTTTCTACTAAATTCTAGTTCGTTTAGTTCTGTAGCTAATGATTTAATTTCACGCGTTCTGTTTATTTTCGCTAAAGATAACATTGTCAAAATACAAAGTATCTCAAACTTTTGATTGAAAGAGAAATAATAAAAATTCTTTATGTTTCTTTATGCTACATTCTATAAGATGAAAAATTGATGCTTTGTGAAAACATGGACTGTAAGTTTATCTCGTGCTAAATAGAAACATTGACGTAAAAGTCTTGAAACATCACGGTTCATTTTATAACTAGTAATGACTCTGTGAGAAAGAATATAGTTACGTTTGCTGTTCTCTCGCTATTTTTTTGTTATTTTTTCTGCAGTTGGTAGTATCTCTGACTTGATTCTTTCTTTTTTCTCGTCGACGTATGCGTTCAGTATAGTTGAATGATTATAAATGCATGAGTTATCCTATCTCATGTTTCAGATAAAAAGTACAAAACATTCTAATGACAGTCTAGATAGGTTTATAAGTCAGGATCTTTCATCGAAACTTTATACGAATTAGAAGGAACAAGACTAGTGAATGTCACTATTATTGTTTAGTTACTTCTATTTCATTATCATTGATGAATCGATTTCTTCCAATAAGAGATCGAAATCAAATCGAATCAAATTTGTTTCATTATAGTCAGTTCATAATGAGTTCGTTATTTCTTATATAGTGTTTCGGTCGAGCGCAGGCTGAGTGACATAAAAGATGATCGCTAAGAGAAAAAACATCTTATCTTTTCCTCTGGTTCGGAAGAGCAACAACTAGACGCAAGTCTAACAAAAACGTATTTCTTGTTCACTTCCCAACAAATTTCAATCACACCGTATAGCGTAAGAGTGAGTACGGTATGTGAGAAATGAGAATGTGATCTATCGAATAGACAAGTAAACGATCTTATCCGTTACTATAGTAACTGTCACCTATTCGATTCATCGAAATATTAAGAAAAGATGAAATAATATTCATTGTGAAGTAGCAAAACCTTCAGTCAGTAGAAGCCTAAGTATGAAAAACTTTTCGATGAGTTAGTACGTGATCTGCTATAACATTTTATACGAAAGTGTAAGAATCTACTGAACATTCTTATTTGTACTTATATTTGATATCCTCTGTTCTTGAATACATTGTTAGTTACTTCCAAACGCTTTCTGCATTATTTCTCCACAGTACTAATAAAAACTCTGAGAAATTTTTCTTTGAGCATTGCGGTCTATTGTTGTGCATCTATCTGATTCGACTGATACTGACCTAATTATTTATTACATAGTACTATGATCGAACCCCATTTCATTGACAGCGACGATCGCTAAAAGAGTACGTACTTCCTCTTTCGTTTCTTTTTCACCATAAAAATGAATAATCTTTATGGATAAATTAGTTGAAGAAGAAAATTCAATGTCAGTTTGTTCGTTGAGCACGTGATAATTATAATCAGTATGACAACTCCATAGAATTTAGTAGAGCTTCATGACATTGTTTGTCCACGTGAATTATACGACGTTGAATCTTAATTTCTATGAGTTGCTTCGGCCTTGCTCCAAAGGCTGTACTAAACTGATGGCATATATGGTGAATGTTAGTTGTATCAAGTTTACGAAAGATGAAACAGCTGTAACCATGACAATAGAATTTCACTTGTGTAATAGTTCTTGGTTGGAATCTTCACTGATTCATATTAGGTATTCGGCTTGTCCGAACGTTATGCTTTGGTACATTTTCGACAATGTTTTTTATATTATCTCGGAAACTTTGAGGACTGAAAAGCTTGTTTGTATGCCGTTTGGCGTAATTTATTGAGTTCAATTTATTCGATAAAAACGACATTTTTCGATAAAAGTCTTGAGCTTCCAGAGAGGGTTTATAATCTCGTAAAACTATGACATAAGAAGAGCCTTATTTTTGAGTGCAC